CAGCAAAGAAGCATGCACCATGACCCGTCACCTGAAAAGCAAAGAGCTGTCAATATTATATCAAGGCCTCGACCTTCTTCTCTAAGAAGCAGAATAGATCCATGGCAAGTTCTTCCACAAAGTATAAAGCCAGACTCTACAGAAGTGGACTATTTAGAGAGTTATGTAGGTCCCAATGTTAACTTTGTACCAGATACTGAGGAGAGAACTAAATCCCACATTCCCTCATTACTTGATATTGATGTGGAAGGTCAAAACAGAGACTGCACAGTGCCTTTGTGTAGAATGAAGAACAAAACTTGTCGGCCATCTATATATGAACTGGAGAGAGAATTTTTGTCTTAAGTGCCTGGCATTTTTAAAGTATTTCCTTTTTTAAGGAGAAGAGAAAAATGTAAATTCTTTTGTACATCTAATATTTCATGCTACTGTTTTCTAAAATACTGTGGCCAATACTACCAAAATTTTTGTAATGGGCAGCTAATTTTGTACAATGTATAACAAGGGGCCTATCTTGAATTTTTACTGGAATCCCATCTAGTAACCTTAAAAGCACAATGCTGGACAACAGTATTCTGGACATACATCTCTAAGCACACTTTGAATTGCTAAATTAACTTGTCCAATTACCTCCCACAAAATCTCACCTTTTCTCTGCTAGAGCTCTTGCTTTTTGGTGTGTTTTTTTTTGTTTGTTTGTTTGTTTTCTCTCACACATTGAAGGACTAATTGGCATGCAGAGGACTTGCATTCAAGTCATGGGGAGTTTTGTGCACATACATTTTTCAGGAACCGCCCCTTTTGAACGGTGGAGTTAAGGATATTTTTTTTGTTTGGTTGGTTTTTTTTTTTTTTTTTTTTTTTATTTTGTTAAGATGCCTGAATAGAAGTGCTCTACCCACTCTGCCCCAAATAGTTGGTTTTCCTTTGGCATTGACTACATTATGTGAGTAACTTACCACCACCAAATGAATTTGCATAGTTTTGCCCCTGACTATTTTGAAATACAGTAGATTGTCAATCGTAGCATTAACTTACCTAAAAAGTTGTAATTTAAATTAAATTAAAACTAAATTTAAATTTGAGTGACTGGAATTTGGTTCAAGGTATTTAATGTTCTTTGTTTTTTGTGTGTGTGTGAAGCAACATTCCATTAGGTAAAGATAAACTGGAACTTTAATAGTCGTGCTCTGACTTTTTTTGAACACATCAGTATATTTGCACTGAGAAGAGTATTCTTCTTGATGATTTTTAATTAAAACTGAGTTCTCTGGGTTACTGTACCTTCTGTTTGGGAAAGAGGATTTTCTTAAAATGAGAACAGTGCAGTTAACCAAGTTTAAGTTTCTAGCACAACTGCAAACTGTTACAGAGTCTATTTCAAAGTCAACCCTGCCTTTTCTTCCTTATATTGTCAATGGGAGCCCTGCTTTTCATGCCACGGTATGGTATGAAAAGGCAAAAATCTGATACACTTGATTTCTTACTTAGTCAGTAAATGTCCAACAAATTCATAACTATAGAGTTGTGGGGGGAAGTGTACTTAAACTTGACCATGTAGCAACTTCATTTTCCCAAATCACTAAATTAGTGGTGACTAATTTAAACACTGTTTTACCAGTAATTGTTGGAAGTGCTGAAGGAGGAGCAGCATTAGAATTAAGGAGTATTTCTTGAATTTTGACAACTAGAAATTCTCTATCATTTTTAGATTTAGATATGCTGCAGAAATAAAATTACATACTTAAGTAAAAAAAAATTTTCATTTCCCATCAGGACATTTTCTTGTTTTAAGGCCTTTGTTTAAATGCTTTGTCTCCTTTACCCGTAAGTCTGGGAGTTCAGATTGTCCATTGTTGAGCAGAATTCATGAGCACCTAGCATCAAAGCAAAGGAATTAAAAAGCCGTTTTTTATTGTATAGTGCACTACATTGGTTATATTGCAAGTGGGAGAGAAGAATTGGAGAATGTCAATCCTGCAGTTTTAATCTTGCAGAGAAGTGGATAGATGGACAGAACTTCCCTGAGAACAAGCTCACAATATTAAGAGTGGAAATGAAAGAACATTTTCTTAAAGTATTATTTCTACAAAAAATGTTGACACACTAACCAATGGTTGGCTGTAAACTGAGTGACTGTATAACAGGTTATTATTAAATTATTGCATTTTTGTTCTATCCTGTTTATTTTCAGTAACCTGTATAATTGCTATTAAGTTTGTTGTAAGTACTGCATACTTCAAAACTTAGGTACCACAAATTTCAAATACCATACAATGTTCTTTAACTTGTATTCTTTAAACTTGTACTTAATTTTATCAGGTACACTTCAGTAGATGAAGTTTAGTTTTTAATTTAAAATGTAACGATTGGTTCTCAAGTTGTACACAATTAATTACACGTAGTGCTCTGTGGAAAACATGGATCAAATCTTAAATATAGTTTGGTAGTGTATTTAATTTTGAAGATGAAAGTTACAGTTGTGAAACATGTCTACTTAAACTGTTTCAGGAGGGATCATGCCTTTATAATATTGAGAGACATTGAATTGATTATATTATACAACTATCCTCCTGGGGAAAGTACCTCTACTAGGCTTTCTAAAGGAAAATCTCAGGTGCTGTAGTCATATTGTCTTGTAAACTTTTGTTCATTCTACTTGGTTTTACTTCATTATGAATGTTGAATTATGCACCATAGATTTTGTAGTCAACAGCCAGCATAAAAATGCCCCACTCTGGGCTGTATTGTTTTCTCTTACCAGCCATCCTTACCGTGATCTGTTTTTAAGCAAAATTCCCCATTGATTTTAATGGGGGATTCAGCTTAAAAATGAATGGTATGGTATGGCCCAATTACTGCATGGTAACAATGTTAAGAGCTATATACTCAGAGTTTGCACCCCAAGAAAAAGAAGGTATGTAAGCCATCTCCAACAAACTTGTTTTATTGATGCAGTCTTTTAGCTATAGTATATAGTGTTTTTTAGAATTATTTTTTCACTTCTTTTTTTCTGTAGTTTAAAATTATAGGCCAGTCTTCACTAAAATGCAAAGATTAAAAATAAAGATGATTAAATCCATAGTTTCACACTTTCTATTTCACATATTACCAGAGATACCTTTGTACAAGTAAGGGAATCTGGTATATATTTATAATGATTTTACTTCTGTATTGGGTATAGCTGGTAAAAGATGTATTTATTGTCATGTATGTGAATAGTCTCACCATATAAGTGGTAAATTTATACTGATCATGTTGGCATACAATTTCAAGGTGCTTACACTGCAGAGATTAAGGTAACTACTTGACATGCTGTTTTACAAAGCCTTATGACTGAAATATTTTTATTTTAAAATAAACTTTTGTAGCTAGTGTATTGCATATTGGCCTTGGCCTTCTTGAAATTAGGGCAGGTTTTAAAACGTTTTTATATCTTAAACTCCCTTGTACAAATTTCATGGAGTAACCAGGAACTATGAACAGCCTGTTCTTAGTCCTTCAGAATGTGGGAACATGTAGTTATTGTCATTGAACTAAATGTAAGTGATTAATGTTAATCTGAGAAGTCCTGTAGGTTTTTGCAATCTTGAAATGCAGATTAAAATATTAATAGTAGCAGCCTACACTTTCTTTCATCCATGTAAACATAACACTTCTCATCTGTAGAACCCAGTGCATTACAATGATGAATAAGTATCTTGTTTCTGTAAAGAGAGTTCGGGCACTGGTTCACATAATGAATCAATGGCAGAATTGACTTTCTTTGGAACAAGAATATAAGCCTTGGGTGAAATCCTCTCCCCATTGAAGTCAGTAGAAAAATTCTCAGTGACTTCAAGCGGGCCAGGACTTTGCTCCTTATATTTTTGTATTCATCATTTTTGGGGGTTCCTTTCAATTTTTCTGAGATGTGCTTCTGCCTTGTTAACTAGGGTTACCATACGTCCGGATTTTCCCGGACATGTCCGGCTTTTTGGGACTCAAATCCCCGTCCGGGGGGAAATCCCAAAAAGCCGAACATGTCCGGGAAAATCCGGTGCCG